TGGAACCAAAGTCAGATTGTCATTGTAAATATTGAGAATTGCTCCGATTTTTTACATTTATATATAAGTAGGGTTGTATTACCAATTTATGTTATTTCAATTCTGTACTACTAGAATGACTACAGGAGTCAAGTGATCCAAATTAAGTTTATGATTAGTCATATTATTATAAATAGAACTGTGTAAGTGTGGGAGAGCCATGCTTCGGCACGAATGGGCCGGCTCGACCGGAGTGATACCACGGCTTCACAGAAAACCGACGTGAAGCAACGCTTGCGTTGTGTTTCGTCATGTGAGTGAGGTTACCGGAAGCCCAATTACCCTCCCCTTCCCCAATGTCCCCAATTCCTGAATCCCCAACGATCCTCAAACTCCTAATCCCCAAATGACCGGTAACGCACTTGTAACGCCTCTGGTGTTCCAGGTGTCCATGGGTGACGTCTTGTGACTTTCAATATTCCCACGAATACTGATAAGAAAATAAATATTTATTTAAAACTAGCCGACTCGGCAGACTTCGTACCTCAATAGTGTTGTTTTTTTAATTCCCACCTTCTAAACCTTCCCTGAAATTCCACAAATAATTCCAGACCAAAATTAGTCTAATCGGTTCAGCTGTTTTCGAGAGTTTTAGCGAGACTAACGTACAGCAATTCAATTTTAGAATATTGCCTATACATACCTAGGTACACATTTTAAACCTTATTTAGAAAAATACGTATACGTATCTGCTATAAACCATCGTGCTTTCGCCAATCACATTGAAACGTAAGTAGGTACTCGGTTCAATCAAAATTGTGAATGAACGCGGACGCACTTAAATCGCGTGACATTGGGACATAAAAAATATGCTAAAAATAGGTTTTATCATTACATTAAAATTACCTACATTATTTATCGATTTATTCTTACATTCTCATAAATTGCGCAACAGTGTTTATCGTTAACAAAGTCACAAGTCAAAAATAATCAGCATTTCATATGAAAAGATTAAGATTTGGCTCAAATATTGACATAATATATTTAATACAGATTTTATGTTTCTTACTTTTTCAAACAGGAAAGTTAAACCTATTTATAATATAGAACATAATATATTGTTGTCGAAAATAATTTATTAAAAATATATTCGACACATTACCGCATGGTTGGTGCGGTGGCTGGGCAACCGGCTGCCGTGCAGCGTGGCGCGGGTTCGATTCCCGCACGAAACAACACTTAGTGTGATCCACTAATTGTTGTTTCGGGATGAGGTGGTCATGTGTATGTGAATTTGTATGTGTTTAAACGCACCCACGACACAGGAGAAAATCCTAGTGTGTATTAATCCTAACGTTGCCCACATTTAAAAAAAATAAAAAAAATACTAAAATAGGGAAAGATTTATTTTACAATACAATAATATTTTTTTGCCATTTCTTATAATTTAAATGTATACTGCCTAACTATCCGCTACGAAGTAATTATATTTTCTATTTAAAATTCTACTTTAATAACAAGGCACTGAAACTTAAAATTGCGTTTTCGATTTTAATAAGTATAGTCACAGATCTATGAATAATAATGAAAATTAATCAAATTAAATTAAATTCAATTAGAAATAGTAACAAAACGAAAAAGAATTTAGACACGTACAAAAATAATTGGAAATGTGAATAAAATTGCAAATATGTATTTTATCTAAATTAGATGCCAAAGTTTGTTCCTGTTGATAGATTTTACATTTGATTAAATATAATGACTGAACATTTAAAATGAAATGCAAATGATTTTACTAAACTTCGTTTTGACCTGTTTATAGATTTAATTAAATATGATTTATTGAACATTTAAAATGAAATTGAGACTGCCTCGTTGGCCGAGTGGTCGGTGAGATTTTTTTTAATGCAGCAATGCTAGCAATACGTTCGCCCCCTATTACATGGGACTCATAACATAAATAGTGAAAAGTGGGTGTTACATTGTACAGTGGCATTAAGTAATGTGCATCTCTGCCTACCTCTTCGGGAATAAAAGGCGTGATGTTATGTATTATGTTAAAATGAAATTTTTGATCCTGTTGATAGACTTTACATTTAATTAAATGTAATGACTCATTGAACATTTAAAATGAAATGAAATGATTCATGAATATAAAATCAGTGACCATTGCCCGGCCAATTTCTTATTGGAATGGAATTTCAAAGATGCATTTCCGACGATACATCTATCATGGACCATTTATCTTCTACGGCTCTTAGTGTAATTGTCTCTAATGCTTAGGCCACACTGTAGTTAAACTGCAGCAGTGTTTAATTTTGTAACCGACTTTAAGAAAAGAAGGAGTTGCTCAGTTTAATCTGTATCTATGTAGGTACATATATATGTAGGCGTAGGTACGTGTTTGGGCGTAATTACCTCGCGATTGGCTGAACCGATTTTGATGCCGTTTTCAGGAAAGATGCCGTTTTTATTAACTAACCGACTTGTGTGTAATGAATTAACCGACTTCAAAAAGAGGGGGTTAAAGTCGGTTTTTGTAAACGTAGTTTATAAAAGAATTAGGTATATTTAAATAAAATGAATACAAGCGACCGCATTTGCAGTAATTTCCACAATATACCATATTTTCATTATAACATATGTATAAGTTGATAACAATAAAATATATTACACTACATTATAAAAAGAGCGTAAAATATTTAAAAAAATTCGCCCAAAAAAAACACTACCTCTACAAAATTTGAAAATCATATAGAACTTAGTACCTAGAAGAACTTAAGATTGGAAATGTCAAGTGCGATTATTGCAAATTTGAATCGTAGGTTCTTAGACAATTTTTAGGGTGTCAATCTATAAGTGTTTGTACAGACATACAGCTGGGTATCTCGAATTCCAAGGTGGACCTACTATAATGACTGGACTATAATTCGCGGGAAAAAACCATAGTGCGGCCTTACCCTAAGAAAACATATTAGTTTATTACCACTGCTAGTACGTAAACTCGGTCTAAATATAAAGCAGGCAGACTAAACTAAAAAAAACATATAAATTGAGATTTCCTACACATAAACATTTCTAATACTTTGTTTGCTTGACTTTTGAAGTGTGCGCAAACACGGATCTCAACTGTTTAAGGACGTGTCTAAGCGATTATGAAAAAGTTGTGCTATTTGATTTTGGCCCTCCACGAATAACAATTAATCAACTAATCCTCTAGAATAAAGTAATGTAATAGTCAAGTGTTGTATAAAGGGTTTTTTTTATTATTTTTTTAAGGGGGAATATCATCGAATGACTGCTCCCGCCTGGGTGAAGCGGGAGGGAGTGTCAGACTCTTACTGACTAAAAACCACCCCATTCGTTCTCCTGCACGTCAAGCCGGAGCCCCGGTTACCCGTTAGGTTCTCCGCGACAAGTGTTGTATAAAGGGTATGATGGGGCTGACATATCTTTGATAAACGCCACTAAAAAGGTTTTAGATTAAAAAAGGACCTGGCTAACTGTCACCTTTTTTTAAACATTGCCCCACACTAAGATTTTCTCCTGTGTCGTGGATGCGTTTACAAACATACAAGTTCACATACACAATGACACCCAGACCCGGAATAACAATCTGTTGAAACCGGGAACCGAACCCGCCACACGATGCGCGGCAGTCAGTTGCCCAACCACCGCGCCAACCGTGGCGTGGAGTCGAAGTAATTAAATGTATGTGATAAAAATATATAATGATATATTCGTCATCAGTTAGTTGCAAAATTACATGGATTTCATATCATAAGAAAAATGGGTAATATAACTATTATAACACTTACTTCTGGCTTCGTTTTCGAAAATTAAAAGACGTAATGTGTTTTGTTTTATTTACAAAATGTATAATTCCATTCACAATTTTTACATGGACGACAATGCACTCGTTTTTATAAAAGAACCTACTGCCACGCCCTTTCATTCCAAAAAGAGATGACAGAGATAGACCTTAAACAATGTTATACGCACTTTTTCACTACTTATGTTATTAGTCCCATTGCCATGATTGAGACATTTGCAAAATATTAACGTAGCTTAAATATTTCCCAAAAAAATTTAGTATTAAATTCTTATAAAGTTAGTTGTCATAAAAGAATCATTAAACTGTGCACTATAAACCTATGTAAATAACTTCTAACTAACTTTCTAGAAAACATCTTCATTGAAACTAAATTTTCTAGGATTTCATTGAATGAATTATTTCTATAAAAAGTCTTTAAAATCAATGTTAAATTAAATTTAGTTCTAAACAATGGTATTTGGTTACAATGCACCTTAACATAAAGGAATTAAACCGAATCGCGTAATTGACTGTTTTAAATAGCATTATCAATAAACACATAGATAACTTAATTATTTAGTAACGTATATTAAAGTATCTTAACAAAACTATAGTAATAAACAACAATTATGTCGAAAGTTTACCAAACGATAGGTAACAAGAATGTACTAAAGAGAAAATGAAGTTATTACTTAGCGGAACTTTGTCCTTAAACTTCTATGAACTCATAACTAAGGATCGAAATGAATATAAATAAACATTAAATGAAAGAAACATAAATAAACTAATAAACGCACTTATTACTTGTAAATATAAATGTGATTTTTACTTGCACTCAATATCACGTGTTCATTTTTAAATGAAAGCTTTTTTAAATTTATTCATTCAAATAATGTAAGTTATTTTGTTTTTAGAAATTAATTTTGACAATGATTTATAAATTCATTCGCTACATATTATGTTGAAGTCATTACTGCCTCAGAAACAAACTTTTATTACTATCGAGGTAAGAAATAAACTCTTTTAAATTATCTTTTATATATTTTATCACTTTATATTTTTTCTGTCCTAAGGGCATTTAAAATTGCTCTCGATATTATCACAACAATTTTATAACTCAAGGAGTTCTGGTAAAATAAATTGATCGTAAAGATTTACTACGGTACAACGTTGTTAGTAAATTATATACTTAATTATGATTACTTACACTTGTCGCCTTGACTTCGAAACTGTCGAGTTCACAGCTCACAGCAACATTTTCAGTTCAATAAACACTAAATAAATAACAGTTTTAAAACTTTGCACTTTCAAACAAAACTTAAACTTTCTTTCATTTATTTTTTTAAACCAAATAAAAAAGAACAAAACTCAAAACAAAAAATGTCTACTATTTTCTAAAATTAGGTGATATCGTTTAACAACATTTTTACTTTTTAAACAGAGTTCTTTTTTCAAGTTTCCGAGCGCGGGAATTCGCGATGGCTGCGGGCGCGTTCGTTCGCAACCGCTGTTAGTCGACAAGTGAAATGTGTACGGCCGCTCCAGGTTCGTCAGTCTATCAAACGCTATCCCATATATTCGCAACGACTGTGTCACTCAATTAAGGAAGATTACTTTGATTCAATGAGCAGTTCAAAAAAAATAACGGTTTTGTATTCTGAATTCGAATTAATTCAAACTTGTATCGAGGTTAACTGTCTCGATTGTCAACATCTTTCATAAATAAAATTGCATTTCCTTTACATACCTACCGCAACGATTTTCTTTCTTTTATTTGCACACGAATTTCAAATTTGGAATTCTTTGTGAGGTTTAATTAAAGAGGATTGTTGCAAGAATGTTTATTTTCATTCATTTATTTTAATAGAATTCATGGTATGGCCGTACCTGTATACCTACCTACGTTTAATTCTTGATCTCTGTTTGTTGAACTTTGTTTTGCTCGTAAAATATTGCTTGTTATTGTAAGGCGTGATCGTTAATTTGTTTCATTGTACTGTTTTGTTAATAGTTAATTTCCACACTGCGTTTATAAAGATTTTTTAGGAAAGATACTGATCTTGAATTAAATATTCTTAAATATATTTTGGAATGAGCAGCAAACTGAATCTGGTGTAGGTAAATATATTAATTGTATTAAATCATGTTTTGATATGGAATACTGTTTTAATTGATATTGAAATGAATTAAGTATTTTACTTTTAATCACGCGTGATTGGCTGGACCAATTTCACTAATTATTTTTTTCTTGTATTTGTTATTATTAAGAGAAGGTGCTTAAGACAGAAAAAATCCTGAAAGTCATATGGGCACGGAAAAAATGCATGAAAATCTAATTACTTATTAATAAATTTTGTGTTGTATATTTTTCTCTAAACTTTAACTCGTCGAGTACCGGTTTTGTAGACACAATTATAGAACAATAGGTTGCGGTCACCGGTGACAGCTTGGTGTTTGACAGTTTAAACTTAAAATCTTAAATTGTTACTACAAATCTATATAAATTCGATACTGTAAAAAAAACTATGTAAATCGATTATTAAGGAATAAATGAGGCTTTATTTATTTATTATTATATGGGAACAGGAGAAAACGGGATTGCGCGTACGAAGTCGCGGGCAGAAGCTAGTAAAAATATATTTGTGGTTACAAACTCATACTTGATTAAAAGTACTTAGAAGGTCTCCATAAGGAGGTGCCGTAACAGGCGTTGCACTATAGGGGCTCCGGAGTTGGTCTACTAATAGGACCTGGTGCCTCCTTCAAGTGCGGATGGTGGCCATCGGGGAGGTTTTAGTGAGGTAAAATTCCCACACTCCCTAGTTTTTTCCCCAAAAAGCTAGGCGCCTTTGGAAGGTTTCCCCCCGTCAACAAAAAAAGGTATATTTTCTATCACAAATAGATTTTGCAGACTATCTGCACACGTGCCTCTCACACACATCCGTGAGCATAATATGCTTATAAAGGGCACAAAAATATCTTCTCACTCATTTTGTATCTATGTATAGACCGCTAATAAAAGATTATAACTATAAAACGTCTAGGTACTTTAATATTTAGGTACTTCCCACAAACTCCTGTAGGTGTCCAATATTTATAGGAGGATATAATAATAATAATCACGGCCTCGTTGGCCAGTGGTCACAAGTGCGACTACCGGGCAAGGGTCTCGGGTTCGATTCCCGGGTCGGGCAAAGTACAACGGGAGATTTAAAAAAAATCTCAGTATTGTGCCCGATATATAGCAATAGGCTTACCCCCTATTACATGGGACTCATAACTTAAATAGTGAAAAGTGGGTGTTACATTGTACAGTGGCATTAAGTGCCGTAATCTGCACCTCTGCCTACCCCTTATGGGATAAAAATGCGTGATGTTATGTTATGTTATAATAATAAAAATATAAATACAAATTAAAAATATCTAAAATTGGCCCGGAGGTACAAGACGCCCGTTTCTCATACATGAGAGGGTTTAAAACCTAACAAAATGGCAAATACCAATGTGACTCTCACCGGCAGACGCTAGACGTTGAAAGAAAACATCGAGAGGAAACCTGGGCTTATAATAGGGTATATGCCTAATTTTCATTTTAATGTCCGTCTGGTAGATTATTCTAAAACATTACACACGTTTTTTTATTTTCTTACAGAAACGAATATTTTCGACCATATATTGATTTGAAATGTCGCGTGACGTCACTTCTATGTACATTTTATCCATGATGAGAAATGACGTTTTAGCCCCCCCCCCACTCTTAAACTTTGTCAAAGTCAAAGCCAAAATCATTTATTTCAATTAGGCCAGAATGGCACTTTTGAACGTCTACGAAAAAAAATAATAAGAAGTGAAGCTATTTGCTCATAAAGGTGTGGTTTTTAATTTTCATACCCTGTCATCATCTCTATTTCTAATTAAGTTTGAAATCGCCAACTCGCATTGAGCAACCGCGGTGATCAATGTTGAAAACCTTCTCTGAACGAAAAGAGGCCTTTGGTCAGCAGTGGCCACTTATAGGCTGTTGATGATGATGATAATGATGACAGAATTAAAAAAAGGTAACAACATGTCATTATTTTTTTTATAAGGTAACCTTCAAAATCGTTCGTTTTATCTGTTAGTTAGCCAATATTTTATTTGGCACTAAGCATTCATTGTCAATAAACACAAAATTATTTATTAATAAAAGAAATCTTTTGATTCAATAGCTTATATCTTTAACATTGCTTTCGACAATACTTATAATTGAATAGCGCAATTTATTATGTACAAAATTGCAACCATTTGGCCTCTATTGAACCGCTTGTTATTATTTGTTAATATAAAAAGATGTTTGTTCATTATAATAAGATGTTAAAAAGTTCACATTCACAAATATAATGTTTACTTTTGACATTCAATGCCATTATTCATATTAAATTCGCATCATTAGATGAGATAAATATAAAAAATGGCAATGTTGCCCGCTTTCTGGGTATTTTCCCAATAGGAATGGATGACAGGACATGAAAATTAAAAATCTAATTAGTCCGTCGGTTTGGTAATGAAAAAGTATTAGACACGTATTTTTTATTTTGTCGTATAAGAAAACAATACTTAGATAAAACGAATCAAAGTTTAGGAGTAGGAGGTAGCTACGTCATTTTAGAGTATAAATCGTACACCAAAGTGACGTCATGCGATATTTCAAATCAATATATCTTCGAAACTATTCGTTTCCGTAAGAAAATAAAAAATACGTGTCTAAAGTTTTTAAATAATCTACCAGACGGACATTGAAATAATAATTAATCATCTACTACTAGATTTGTTTGATACACTTTGTAAATAGAATTTTTTAGCTTTCTTTTATTTAATTTTTTTCCATTAGTTTTAGTGTCGCTTAAGTAATTAGTTAGTAATTATTATATTTAATGTATGTACCTTTATTATTTATAAATAAAAGATTTTCAATAAACATCATTACGAAATATAAAAAATGCTAAAGAAAACATGATACAGCATGATTCTTCGTACCTAAGTACCTATAGGAGAACTCCACATAGGTATGCATGCTTCCATATCCCCAATGTTCAAATCCCTAATCCCCAAAACGCCGGCAATGCACTTGAAACTCTTCTAGTGGTACGGGCGTCAATGGGCGGCGCCGATTGCTTACCATCAGGTGATCAGTTTGCATTACCGGTCTATTCCATAAAAAATACCCAAAAAAAGTCAAGGTGAGTTGCTAGTTTAAAAAAGTGGACTAGATTAATTTCTTAATCAAGTTTTCTACAAGTTATTATTACTCTGTGATTATCAATAAATTGACAATTTCCTGAATTTATCCACAAATAATAACTGCTACCTACCTGTTGATATGGTATAATTTTATTAAGTGTTATTTTATTTGGTTAGACTGGCACTATATTATTAAAAGGTATAACATCACGTATTTTATCCCCGAAGAGGTAGGCATTTTTTTTAAGGGGGGAAAATCAGCGAATGACTGCTCCCGCCTGGGTGAGGCGGGATGGAGTGTCAGACTTACTGACTAAAAACCACCCCGTTCCTTCTCCTGCACGTCGAGCCGGAGCCCCGGTTACCCGTTAGGATCTCCGCGACAAGAGGTAGGCATAGGTGTACATTACAGCACTAATGCTACTGTACAATGTTCATAACACCCACTTTTCACTATTTATGTTATGAGTCCTGTATAATAGGGGGTGAGCCTATTGCCATATACCGTACACAATTACAGACTCCGTGCATTACTGAGATTTTTTTAAAAAACTCAGTAATACTTTGCCCGACCCGGGAATCGAACCCGAGACCCCTTGCCTGGCAGTCGCACTTGCAACCACTTGGAAAACGAGACAGTCATACTTTTATTTTATACTGGTTTTTACGAGTGGGTTCGCCCGTTTAATTAAGAGGTCTCAGATTCAGTTCCTGAGTAACCGAGTAACATTATGTCTGAAATTGTACCCAACTCATCGACTATTATAGGAAGGTTAAATTTGATGTCACGTATATTGTGTACTTTCATTTACTCCTTCAGGGAAAACTTGTCACAATATATTATGTTATCATGTCTAAATAATAATGTGGACGTTACTTTAAGTAGCCTTGAAGTTATTCCAAGTTTATTCAGTACTAGCGACGCGCCCTGGCTTTGCACGGGTACCAAATGCTTGTATTATACATTTTTTTTTTAAGAAAAACGTTGCCCCACTCTAGGATTTTCTCCTGTATCGTGGGTGCGTTTACAAACATACAAGTTCACATACACAATGACACCCAGACCCGAAACAACAATTTGTGGATCACACAGTGTTGTCTCGTGC